TGGCGCAGCGTACATCGCTTTAAATTTCCGCGCGTGTGATATTTATATATACAGTAAGAGCACATATAGCACAAACTTTTATGAATAATATGCGCTCTGCGCGTATAAAGATAATCTGAATTCCCAACAATATAACCGGAAGAATGTGGCTCCTTTGATTACCAGGTGAAATGCTTGGTTATGGAATCCAAGAGAAAACGACAAAAATAATGATATGAATTTACCCTCCCAAGATCCAAAGCTGGGGTCGTATCACCTGAGTGGATGGTTCGATGGCAAAAATTAACAATTGCAGTTTTCTCGATCTCATGATTTTCTTATTATTGTACAAACTCTCAAACTTTACACATTTTTTTCCGCATGGCTATCGATGATGATTCTTGGTCCAATTTTTAAAGTTGAATATAAGTAAAACTCCTCAAAAATTGCTCAACTTAAGAATTGCTTAATCTCAAACAAATAACAATACTTACAAAAATTCAAATATTTGCGGAACGAATTTGCAAGTTCCTTTATAATCATAAAAGTTCTTGAAGCTTTTACATTTATTGGTCAAATATTGCAGATTTGTATTTATTAAAAACTTCATCGGATTATAATAAAGAATCAATGGCTCAACCATTATGCAGTTCATAATAGCTAATTGAACTTGGGAAACCGAAATTATACAAAGTATACCAGGTGTACAAATAATGAAGAATTCTCAAATCTTGGCAAAGATTTGCTATGATATAAACCAAAAATTTCGTTTAAAACAAAAAAATCAAGGTGTAGAAATTGATCCAAATTATTATGAATCTATTAATCCTTATACTGAAACAATTTTCATCTTTTAATAAGTTTAATGTTATATAATCTGTTAATTTAACATTAAAAGAGATTACTTCTCCGGTTAATAATTATTATTACTATAAGGATTCATTTGAATACTCACCTTTTATAATATGAAAGTTATGAAATCTCCATATATTTGTACTTGAAATTAATTCAAATGGGGCAGTTGGGCAGCAGGGAAAGATATTTGATTTGAGAGTCAATAAATGCTAGAACTGGGTCTAATGCTAATAAACTTATAATGAATCACAACATCTTTGGTATGATGCTTGGAATTGTACTTTGATAACTGGAAAAAATAATAATAATTAATTATTATTAATATCTTTTATATGAAATATAAATTGTTATTTAGCTGAAAAGCTGAAATAAGTATTTTATTGTAAAATAACAAAAAGCAAAATTAATTCTATTATAACTCACTCTTTAAATCTTAATATTATTTGCTTCAAATTTTATTAATATATTGTTTACCTTATCTACCTTATCAATCAGACTCTAATTCTAGATCAGGTTTATAATTGGAGATAAAATGTTTAATAATAAATTTTCATATTTTAATAAATGTCCAAAAAAATTACACATTCATAAAATATCCTAATATCACATACTCATTTAAATATACCAAAATTATAAATCACTATAATTTAAATTTTTTAATAATACCCAACTTTTTATACTTTTCAATTACTTCAATATTTTCCTTCATAAATTTTAAACATTTTGATCCTTTGGTAATAATAAAAGAAAAAGATTTTTGTGGAATACGATTATTCCAATTTATAAAAAATTCCTCCAATTCTTCCGGAAGTATTTTTGGTTGCGCACCCCATATATAATAAATATTTAATTCATAAAAATTTCTAGGAGAATATTTTACAATTATATCTAATATTTCTTTATCATTTAAATATCTACCACCACACCAAGCTTGAATACTTTCCAAATATTGACAATTATTAAAAATTACCTTTATAGTTTCTAATTCATCATTTCTAAATATAGTAAAAAGTTTTCTAAGATTTGGACAAAATTTAGCTATTGCTAAATTTAATAAATAACCATTATTTTTTACATAAAATTCTTTTAAATTTTTTCCATTATTTTCTAAAAATTTTATTAATAATTCATATTTTGGACATGAATAATTAAATTTTAAAACTTGTAAATGTGGAAATGAAGCATATTGTAATTCTTTAAAGTATTCAAAATTATAATCAAATGATAAAATAAGTTCTTGTAAATTTGTAAATTTGGTAATAAATGATAATTCCAAATGTTTATCTGTAATTGTTGGTAGAAAAATGAAATTTGATATATTACGTAACCCATTATTATATAAAAAATCAAATTTAATTATAGTATTAGGAAGTTTTGATAATGAAGAAATTATATTCGTTATATCTTCTCCATTATAACAACTTATTACCAAATGCTTTAAATTTTTTTGAACTGATATTAAATCTATTAATCCATTTGAAATAATATTTTCAAATGTTATACTTAATGATTGTAAATTTTCACATATTTTAGATAATTGATAAAAAAATTCTGGATAAATATCTGATCGACAACTTAATTTTGAGAGATATTTTAAACAATCTTTTGCTCCAGGATATGAAGTAAATGTTACATTTGGAACATTAATTATTGGATATGAATAAAAATATAATTCTCTTAAAGAAGATATTTTATTCATAAGAAATTTATATATCTCACGTGCAACTATATATTTTTTATAATTTAAATTTTGTGGTGTAATAGATTGATAATTTTGAAGAATATTTTTTATCATATCATGAACATTATAAATTGAAAGACTTTTAATAAATGTTGTATAATCAAATAATGGAGTTTTAGAATTTAATGTTGTTGTAATAATTTTATTTTCATATAAAATTTCTTTTGATTCTTTAGGAAGACAAGTAATTAAAGTTTTATAATTCCAAACATTCTTCCATAAAATTCTAACGGAAACCCCACACCAAAGGCGGTTGACTAATAAACATGAATGTAAAGTGAATTTGTCTTCTTCTAAATAATCAAAAATTTCGTTGAGACAATCAGCGGGAAGTTGAGACATTTTAAATTATTAAAGGAATAATTTTTTTTTTTTTTTTTTTTTTTTTTCATGTTCAAAAAAAGCAATTTTATTAGCGTTTCAGATATTGTGTCACATTCTACAATTCGGATAGTCATGTATTACAACTAACTATGTGAGTAAAATGTGAACGTAAGCGCCTACGCATACATGATAAATGATCGTCATTCCAACTCCGATGATGAATGAAAGACTATGAGAATCACATTGATTTACCGATTTTTTATATTATTTCGCGATATAACGTATACCGATACAATCCTTCTGTCCCCTTTATAGTAACGTATATATTATATAGTTTGGTAGTTTGTACTGAATTTTGTTTAGCATAATGTAGGTCGAAATTAGATAATTTGACCAGCATTACAATCTATTTTATACCGATAATTTGATATACCGATATTTTTTTCCAAAACAGCAACATCGGTATATAGTAATATGACTTTTAAAAACACTTAACAAGGCCCAGGTGTATAATATATATTTTAATAACAAGTATTTGTTTGTATACGGGTAAACCGTGATTTTCGTAAGTATAAATACTCACCGAATTTTTGTCCGTATGAATTCTAATATATTTAATTGGAAATATATAAATTATTTTTGTTTGATTTTGTTTGTAATTTAGGAAATGCAAAGAAAATTATTCGTCTTAATAACGCATCCTTAAAATAAAAAACATTATAATAATCAACAATTAATTAATCCACGTGTAACGAATTCGAATCTGTGGATCCACTTCATATATTTCGCCACAGGATATTTGGAAAATGTCGGATCCAATTAATGAACCGACATAGATTTTTCCGTGGATCTTACTTTGAAAAAATTTCCTGATGTACAGTATCTCTGGTACGGTCATACATGTTATACCTTGAATTATTTCCTTCCTTCGGCTAACGTAGAAAATATAGATGGCCCTACCTTTAGCAAATATATTAAGATTTATGTAATAACACTCTTTATCGAGGCTTAATACTCTATAATATTGAATAAATTTACTAGTTAGAGATAAAATGTAACGGTTTGTCAGAATGCAGATTCTAGTCAATAAGTAGAATAACGGTTAAAAATAATTTTTATATGACATACACTGCTTCATGACGTATGTTCTGTAATTTTGATATTTTCTGGACTATTTCTTTGAACTGTGCCTCATCTACTGCTTTTTATCCCGTCATTTTTTTCATTAGTTTCACGCGCGCAGCACTTCAGTCGATACTCTCCACTTTTGTGAGCTTCATTTGCAAATAAGGTCTACCTGATGCCAATTCTGACGTTGTTTATACCGAAACTATACATGTCAGTCTCGCACGTATATGGTTTATTCAGGGGCAACGTAGGGTATAACTTCATATAATTAAGATGCTGGCCACTTATGTCGCATATATTTTTGTATCGAGTATTATATCGCTGTCAGGATGAAGATCGCGGTGAGATAATCCTGCTTTATGAATGTCATTAATCATTTTAATATTACGGCGCCTGCGGCCATACGCAAGATCTGACAATCAATTGTGGATTTATTGCACCCCGCAGCGAAATATTGCGACAAATTACACTATAATCCCTATTCCATTCGATAAGCAAGAAATTCGCGTTGATATCAGTTCGGTTTTAACTTTTAATTACAAATTCGGCAATTACCATGACAGTAATTTTTATATACATTAAATAGAAAAACATCAAGTGAGTTGTTTATGATAGTTTGGACAATGCATATGGAAGTAGAGATTTACTGTTACTGTTATTTAATAAACTATCTTGAATAAGCGTTTGATTTAGACTCATTAATGATTGGTTATATGTTCAGGCCTGATGATCGGACTTCGGGTCGACTGTAAATATTTATTGAGCACAATTCAATTTATTTTTTACAAACGTGACACTGATACAAATTTTTTAATTACATAGATATTACATAGATAGATAAACGAAGACACACAAAAGAAAAAATGAAAGAAAATAAACGTGAAAATCTAAATAATTTCTTGATTTTGTGAAAATTTACAGAAAAACTTTATTTGTTAATAAAAAATTGAAATTTTAAGACCTTCATTTAAACTCATAAATATATAAATTTTAAATAAAAACACAAATTATGATGATAGAACTATGGCAGATGCAGTCGCTGCATGTTAGTAATGACATGCTTGCATGGCCACCTTTAAGTTCCACCAATTTTTTCTAATCTAATCAAAAAATTTCACATTCTTTGACAGTACCAAATTTTTTATATTTTTCAATCACTTTCTTAATTTCATTAGTCATCTCCAAATTATAACCTTCAATAATAAAAGAAAGTGATTTTTGAGATGTACGATTTTTCCAATTTATAAAAAATTTCTCCAATTCTTCTGAAAGAATTCCTGATTTTGTGTTAATGACGTAATATAATTTTAATTCATAAAAATTTCTAGGTGAATAATATGCAACTACTTCCAATGCTTTTTTATCATTCAAATAATTATTGCCACACCAAATTTCAATACTTTCTAGATATTGACAGCTAACAAAAAACTCTTTTAATAATTCTAAATCATTATTTTCTATAGAAAAAAATTTTCTAAGATTTGGACAGAGCTTGGCTATAGCCAAACATAATGAATTATCAGAACAGCATATATGAAATTCTTTTAAATTCTTTCCATTGTTTTCTAAAAATTTAATTAATACTTCAACACTTGGATGTCCAAATAGAAATTTTAAAATCTTTAATTGTGTAAAAGTAATATATTGTAATTTTTCAAAATATTTAAAATAATTATTATTATAAGTATAAATATGAAACGATAATACGAGTTCTTGTAAGTTTGTGAATTTTGTAATAAATGATAATGGTATATAATGTCTTCCACCATAAAGTTCATATTTTATTAATGTATTAGGAAGTTTTGTTAATGATTGAATTATATTTGTTAAATCTTCATGATTAAAATTGTACATTATTAAGTATTTCAAGTTTTTTTGAACGGAGATTAAATCCGTTAATCCATTTGAAATAATTTTTTCAAAACTTATGGCTAGATATTGTATATTATGACATAATTGAGATAATTGATAAAAAAATTCAGGATAAACATTTGAACGGCAATTTAAACTTGAGAGATGTTTTAAACAATCATTTGCTCCAGGATAAGAAATAAAAGTTATAATCGGAGTATCTATTATTTTATACGAATTAAAATATAATTCTTTCAAAGAAGTCTGATTCATGAGCAATTTATATATTTCCGTTGCTACTATATATTTCTTATGGTTTAAGCTTTGTAGAGTAATAGATTGAAAATTTTGAAGAATACATTTAATTATGTTATCAATATTATAAATTGAAAGATTTTTAATAAATGTTACATAATTAAATAAAGGAGGTTTTGAATTTGATGCTGAATTAATGATCTTATTCTTATTTAAGATTTCTTTAGATTCATTAGGAAGACAAGCAATTATGGTTCTACAATTCTGAATATTTCTCCATAAAATTCTAACAGAAACTTTACACCAAAGGCGATTAACTAGTAAACATGAGTATAAAGCAATATTGTCTTCTTCCAAATATTCAATAATTTCATTAAGACAATCAACGGAAAGTTGAGACATTTTGTTGATTTTGTTGGAATTATAAAATGTCAAATTAGGGGGGAAAGGGTTAAAAAAATGTAAATCAATGGGTCGATGTTTAAATGCAAATTCATTTTGTAATCGTGTTACCGGACATTTCATTTTTGTAGGTGACACAAAACTATTGTACTTAACAGCGCAGTACTGTTTATCCAAATAATACATATAAGATTTTGCCTAAAATAAAAAATCTTTTTTCAAGTCCAGATTTACTTATACAGTATATATCAGTTAGTAATTTAACGTGATACGACGCATCAGTCGCATCATTGGAATTGTTATTAATTAATTTTCAAATGATATCAAAATAATTTTTGAGTTGAAACAATCTAAAATTAGCAATTGGCAAGTATAAACCAAAATTACTAAATAGTAAAGTACTAGTATTTTGTGTCGTTTTATATCACTTGCCAACACTGTGCGATCATAAAGGATCCCAATTCGGACCTATATTTAAATTTGGCCAAGTTAACTCTATAATCAATTATGTAAATATGAGACATTTTAGTATCGAATAGCCTGACTGATAAGAAGTCATAATCATGTTAATGCTTACAAACTTCAACAAATGTCAAAAATTTTATTTCTTTTCATAAAGTAATCTTAAGATCTAAGATCACTCATAAAATATTTAAATAAGTAGACCCAAATTGTAAATCCCGAAAAAAATAATTATTAATTATCACAAGGTAAAATATTAAACGTTTCTAACTAATGTCACTTGGCGTGCGTTAACCCATTTATAATGATTGAGAAAAGACAAACGCCCATATACGTTAATGCGATAGTCAGCGATAGTCAGCGATAAAACGGTCTGAGATTTTGATTTTTTTTTCTGAAATGAATTTTATTTGGCCATGCGGACGTCAGTTCATGACGCTAATTCGTTCATCAAACTTTTCATTTCACATATAAATTTCTTTGCGTAATCCATTTAATCACACTTTATATTTCATTTTTATTTATCATTAAAGATAGAAATTTACGTAAAACATATAATAAGAGAAAAGCCATCTAACAAATAATTTCAAATTCTTTGACAGTACCTAACTTTTTATGTTTATCAATCACTTTCATAATTTCATTAGTTGTCTTTAAATTATAACTTTCAATAATAAAAGAAAGTGATTTTTGTGGTGTACGTTTTTTCCAATTTATACAAAATTTTTCTAATTCTCCTGAAAGAATTTCCGATTTTGTATTCGTAGCATAATATAATGTTAATTTATAAAAATTTCCAGGTGAATAATTTGCGATTATATCCCATACATCTTTACAATTATCATTGCACCAAATATTAATACTTTCTAAATATTGACAACCAATAAAAATCTTTTTCAATAATCCTAATTCAATATATCCCGTAGAAAAAAATTTTCTAAGATTTGGACAAAACTTAGCTACAGCTAAACATAATGAACTATCAGAACAGCATATATGAAATTCTTTTAAATTCTTTCCATTGTTTTCTAAAAATTTAGTTAATAATTCAACTTTTGGATATCCAAATGGAAATTTTAAAATCTCTAATTGTGTAAAAGTAATATATTGTAATTTTTCGAAATAATTAAAAGAAATACTATTATTGTTAAATGATAATACAAGTTTCCGTAAATTTGTATATTTAGCAATAAATGATAATGGTATATAATGTAATCCTCCATGAAGTTCATATTTGATTAATGTATTAGGAAGTTTTGTTAATGATTGAATTATATTTGTTAAATCTTCACGAAAATAACCGTACATTTTTAAGTACTTCAAGTTTTTTTGAACGGAGATTAAATCTTTTAATCCATTTGAAATGATTTTATCAAAACTTATGGTTAAATATTGTATATTATGACATAACTGAGATAATTGATAAAAAAATTCAGGATAAATATTTGAACAACAATATAAACTTGAGAGATGTTTTAGACAATCTTTTGCTCCAGGATAAGAAATAAAAGTTATAATTGAAGTATTTATCATACCATACAAGTTAAGATATAATTCTCTCAAAGTAGTTTGATTCATGAACAATTTATATATCTCAATCGCTACTATATATTTCTTATAATATAAGCTTTGTGGAGTAATAGATTGAAAATTTTGAAGAATATTTTTAATTAAGTTATTAATATTATAAATTGAAAGGTTTTTAATAAATGTTACATAATTAAATAATGGAGGTTTTGAAGTTGAAATAATAATTTTATTCTTATGTAAGATATATTTAGATTCATTAGGAAGACAAGCAATTATAGTTCTACAATTCTGAATATTTCTCCATAAAATTCTAACAGAAACTTTACACCAAAGACGATTGACTAATAAGCATGAATATAAAGTAATATTATCTTCTTCTAAATATTCAACAATTTCATTAAGACAATCAGCGGGAAGTTGAGACATATTGTTGATTTTTATTTAGAATTATTAAAATGTTGTCAAATTTAGGGGGAAAAAATGTTTGAAAAAAGAAGTTTACAATCAATGAATTGTTTAAATGCAAGTTCATTGTAATCGTGTCACCAACCATTCCCTATAAAAAAATTTCAGGGAAAAACTCCGATAAATGAACTAATTTGTATTCCAAGAAAACTCCGACATGTGATCTATAGGGATTCTTTTATAGGTGTCACAAGGCTATTATGTCACGGTAAATATCAGTGAGATTTTACCATCACCGGGCTTACGAAACATGAACCAGTGGCATAATAATACTTATGATGAATTCTATAACAGATAATTTCATACTTATAAAAAAAAGTAAACGACATGGTATTAAAGGTACAGACCGGTATTAAATTAGGCCCGAGTTAACCATATTATTTATCGTGATTGTCGATAGATGACCGTGATGACCGTGATATTGTAAACTACGTGAGCACGTCATTCACGTGTCTATTTAAAGTAACCCAACTTTTGCTCGACATCACATTTTCCCCATTTTCCCGAAATCACACGAATCACCATTTTTGCCGATAGCCACTTTACCGACAATGGTCAACATAAAAATTAAAAAGGTTTTTACCGAATAAAGTAATAATTATTTATCATGTGAAATCAGATTAATAATTTTTTTTTTTGGTAATTTTAAAAAATTATAGGCTCGAATTGTAATAATAAATTGAAATTAAGACGCTGAATTTATTTAAATGATTTTCAGAGTCGGGTAATTTCGTGTCGGTAAAATGCCATTTCATTTCGGTAAAATTGAAATAATTTCATGTTGGTGAATGGCTGTCTGATAGTTGTAGCCAGTATGATATGCTGCTTTCCAATTTTTGATACTATATCGAAACATCTCAGTGATACAATATCCTCCCTACCCAATAAATATGTTATACTGTAAAAGCATCGAAAAAAAATTAAGCGCTCATGTATATCGAACTCCATCATTAATTACTTGTTAAACTGCTTGGAATTTTATAGAAATCTTGGATTTTAATATATTTAATTGCTCGTATTTTAAGTAATATGTTAATTTTCAATTAGAATTTACCTAAAGCACATGAAAACGTGGATAATTTCAAAATCTTATCTCACATCTCGCCAATCATAGACCAAATTAATTATTTAGCGATCCGATCGTCAGCTAATAATTCACTGTTGTCGATCTAAAATATTTTCATATGTTATCACGCTTAGTTGTCTAAAATTTAGTTCCCAAATTGAACTCTCTTGAATAATTATAAACTCTATGCTACCCCGTTACTCATTATTAAAAAATAAAGTATAGAAAATTTGCGTGCAAAATTTAATTATATAGAATCGGTTATTTCGTTTTTAATAGATCATTATGTTATCGTGACGATTAAAATTTTTAACGCTACTCGTGCTACAACGTTTTTATTTTGATATGTTTGCGATGATAAAAAAAATCACCCTGGGGTTACAATTACAACAGATGAACAAAATGTTGCGTCACTCAAATTCGTCATACCCGTGTTATAAAGGTTTATAAACGGATATTCCATATGTTCATTTTATTACTATTTAAAACATACTTACTGTGCCTCAATTATACAATTCTTACTATTTTTGTAATTGATTTTATTATAATGTGTTACGTGGCTACGTAACTTTACGTCTTAAATTAATAATAACTGAATGTGGTGACCAGGGGGGGTAATACAAATTCTCCTTTTTTGTCAACCATCCCCTTATGTACGTACATGCAGTATTTTAGTTTTTGAAGAAATAAAAATACTCAACTCAGTTTTTTACTTCTTCAACAGCTTTTTTGAACCGTGAGCTGTTGCATTCATTAACTAAAACGTATCTTGCATCTCAATCGTGCAGAAAAAATTATTCTAGTATGATAATTACAATATTTTAATGTTTTATTAATAAAAAAAAAAAAAAAAAAAAANAAAAAAAAAAATAAGAGACACAAGAAGCACAAATTCTTTCACACGATTAATTAATGTATTTATTTTTAATATATGATATAAAATATGGCAAATATACCTCCAAAAAAACCAGTTAATGATTTAATTAAATTCTGGGCTGAAAAACAAGAAGAAAAAAATAAAGAAAAAAAACCAGAACCAATTTCAAAGTCACCACGAAGACCTTCTTCACCACTTCCACGAAATGATGGTATTAACTCAAAATCAGCAATTAAAGATGTACCACTCAATTCATCTCCTATGTCAACATCTGATAATGGTCTTTCTATAGTTAATATACAAACATTTTCAAAACCAAATGAACAAGGTAGAATGAATTGGAGTTCTTTATCACAAAGCAATGAAGTTCCTTCAAGTTCTTCACCTTTCTTAGCTCTTAAAACAATACCTCCTGTTCCTGCTAAAAATAGTTATATAACGCGACCACGTGATCATAATCCTAATGCAAAAGACGCGTTTAGTAAGAGTGGTCCATTACCTCCGGCTAGAAAAGTAACTGATCTTGTAAATAAATTTGAAAAAGGTGCATCTCCAAAATTAGTTCCAATGAACCAAAGTCAACATTCTTCAACTTCTCCATTAGCATTGTCTCCAATAAAGCGTCAACCTAGTCCGGAACCTCTATCATTATCTACTCCAACGTCTCATACTAAAAATTCAGATATCACATCGAAACAAATCACTGATGAACCAACCTCGCTGTCTTCAATTCAACAAGAATCGTTTCAAACAAAAATTCCAAAACAGAATTCAAATCCTTTCATAATACCTTCAATTAAACAACCTGATCCGGAACCCTTACAACAGATGAAACCTATATCACCAGTCCTGTCAAAAATTGTACAAACTCCTCAGATTGATCAAAAAAATCCACCAGAATATGTTCCAAGACAATCAAACGAACATGGATATCTCTTACCCGAAATTACACCAATTTCTCCTTTTTGGAAACCAACTACTGAAAGTACACCAATATCACCACTTTGGAATCCAAAAAATGTAAACACTCCAGTTTCACCTCTTTGGAAACCAGCGACTTTAAAAAATTCTAATACTTCTCAAACTAAACAATTAAATACTAATAAAACATTCAAAAGTCGAAAAGTTTTATCTGAAACATCATCAAATTCACGTAATAATTCTAATCCGTTTGCATCTTCGAGTAATCACGAAATTCCTGATTTATTACCTCATCCTGAACCAATTTCGCCTATTCGACTCTCTTTCTCGGATTTCCTAAGATCACCAAATAGTTCTACAGCAAATTTGAATTCGAATCCGTCTCAGTCACATTTAGAGAATCATCTAATGGATAAGAAAGATACGGATCAGTTTGATATGTATAAAGTTGTAGTTGGACCAAAATTCGGAGATAATAAAAGACAATCATTACCATCCGCAAAAGATACGAATGCTTATATATTGGAGATGCATGAAACTAACATACGACAATCTCGTTCCGCTCCAAAGAAAGATGAAAAATCTTCCACAACTAAACCTATATTTGCAAATCCTATTGTTGGAACAATTCAACTTGTTGAAAATCTACGACGTTATTTACAACCAAATAAATATACGGATTCAAATGGTATTAGTGAGCCGGTACAAGAATCTACATCTCAAAATATAAATAGCAAAGGAGAAAAATATGCTATGACAATCTCATTAAAAGAATCTGGAACTTTTCAAACTTATAATTCACAGAGTAGCACAAAGTTCTGGAAGCGTCCAAACTTTAAACCTGTTAAAATACCGAAATCTCCATATAGCACTACACGACCTGAACGAAATACACTTTCTCCTGATAATACTCTTAAAAAGAATCCCTTCTTAATTAAAAAGAAATCGCTCAAGAATACAAAACATGATCTTCCTGAATACAGCACTTCAAAATCAAAAATGTCTATGCTCGTACCTCATAATCTTTCTTCAGTAGAATATGGAAAAACTAATCGTTCTTTACCAGATTTATCAGTAAGATATCGTCATCATAATTTTAATGATGTATTCCACAAAAATAATATGACGGTACCTGATTTCACGCGAATCGATTCAATATACGAAGATGAGCCAAAAAAGCCAGATTTTGCCATGGCCATAATGACGGATGCAGAATCGGACCCTTCAAAGATTACAAAATTCAGTATCGATCCATTCGATGAATCTGAATCTAATGAACTTTTCAAACCTGGTGCTCCATGGATTCATTTACCTCATCTTGATGAATTTATTAAATCTCTTCCTCCAACTGAATTCTCTGAACCGAAGGATTTGATGACAACTAAAGAATATGAGAAATTTATTGGATATGGAAAACCTGATGATAAATCTAGAGAAGCCATGTTTTCCCCAATGAATCAAATTCCTGAAGGAATTTGTTTAGAGGATTTAAAGCATAATATTTTAAAAAAAGATGGTTTTTTGAATCAAGAACAAAAAAATAATCTTTTTGATGCTGCAATTGATGGTATCTTAGCTGGCCAATCATCCACGGTTGGAATGAACATGACGAAGCTTGAAATTATAAGAGACTTTATACAAATATTGGCTTTGGCCTTATCATTTGTAGCTTCAAACATATTTGGAGATTGGATAAAAACAATATTAGTTACAATACCGAACTTACTGAGTTTGAATCTGGATCGCATATTTGGAAATGGAACTGCTTTTTTCCTCGCCTTCTGTACCATTGTATTCATAGGTTTATATTGGTTCAGAATAATGACCAAATACGACCCAAATGCTGATATTGAGGTAATTTTTTAAGTTTATATATTATTTTCTTAAAAAATATTGAATGAGAAATTAAATTATTTTAATTAATAGGGTCTCGAATCACATCCTTGGAATCTTCGTCCTGAATCAAAACGAAAGCATAATATCATTATAGTATTTATTCTTACTACGCTTTACCTTCCTCTATCCAAATTGTCTCTTAACGCGCTTGTATGGTCAGATTCATTTTGGCCTGTTACCAATCCTTACAATAATACAGACTTTCCAATTTTTGAAAAAAGTGGTTCGGATACGATGCGCGATCCGAGTGATTTCTGTTATGTCACCAGTATGAATAAAGAAGACTTAAACTTTTCTCCAGTGATAATTGCAGTTGCTTTAATAACAATTTGCGTATTGACATTCTGGTTCCCCATTGCATTGAAACGCTTGGTTGATAAAAATTTGCCAAGAGTAGATAAATATAATGAGATGGGTGAAACTAGGCACAATCGCGATGAAGAATACAAAAGATTATTGGGAAAAGACACTTGTCCTTATAATTTCTTGTATAATGGTGAGATTTTTTGTTTAAATTAAATCAGGTTAATATATTATATCCATACCATTTCATTATTCTAAATTTTTTTTTTTTTTTTTTTAGCATATAATGAAAAATGGGCAGCTTATAAAACATTCGTTATGGCTAATAAGTTCTTCTTAATCTTTCTTGTGTGTGTAATCTCCAAAGATAACTGTCTCTTTAGATCCTTTTCAAGATCACGCATTGAAACTATAAATTATGGTCTTCAAGTTACATTTATGGTCATTTTGTTTGTACTTCATTGGAGAAATGAACCCTTCCTTTATAAGAGTCAGAATTTAAGTGAATATTGGTCAAGAGCTGGTTATGTCATCACAACCGTATTGGGATTGTTGACCGTTCTTAAAGTGGGACCGGAACGAAAGATAACCATCGCGGTGATCGCTATAAACGTCTTTATATTGCTTATTGTTTTCTGGCATATAGTAATTCACACAGATCGTTACAAGAGTTTTGTTAAAGTTATGAAAAAACGATTAGATTTTTCCTTGAACATTTATTCTCCAAGATTAGATTTTGCCAAACACATCAAACGAAGAGTATGGCAAGAAACGTGGACCACATTATTACTTACATCTGAACAATTTAAAATGCACGAGAATAAAACGGTAGCATTTTCTCAGAGTCCATTTAGACCTCCATACCTTTTAAATTTTTCTGGAACGGCTGCTGAGAGACATGTAGAAAACTTGAAAATTATTAGACAGATTGGAATTAAGAATTATACTTCAGCAATGGCACCTTTATCAACGTCTCTTATCAAATTAAGATCTATTATAGTTGATAATTTTGTTGGACCTGATATGTATTATGCACCGGAATTTTTTACACATAAAATTATTAAGACTTGTTTTGGAAAAGCTTATGTGGTGCCATTTCCATTTTCTGTTGTAATGGTTTATGATGAAGATGAAACGGTTTTAGTTCTAGCAGAAGAATGGGAAATTGAAAGATATGTTCAACAAAATGAGAATAAAGAAATTCAAAGGAGACGTCATGTTCGTCAAACGTTAAGAGCTTTAGAAGGAAAAGTAATTATTGGACCATCACGTGAAAAAAATGATACAGAAATTCAATATTATCGTGGAATATTATCAATACAAAGACATAAGAGATCAAAATGGAGTAATAATTACAATATGAATCCAGGATTTAAAATTACAGTATCATATGTTGATATACAATCACCTAACGAACGTGTTGTTGGTCATGATGTACTTGGAATTACTGAAGATTTTCAAATGACATCACAATTGAAGAAACTTTTTTCAGATAATAAAGAGACAGTTCATATAGGATTAGCGGAAATTCAAAAATTGATGGAAGAATATCGACAATATTACCGAGATGAAACAAAATGGAAGGAAGAAACACTTTCATATGGATTTTTCATTAATGTATATGATAATCCATCAATACCATTAGAATCACTTCCAGCATTATTAATTACAACCGAAGAAAATCAACTTATTCAATCATTACCTGAAAGTGAATATCCTAGTTTAATATATCTTTATGAAAGGATGAGAGTTGTAAATTTATCAAGAGTTCATCAATGGTGGTATCTATTTTGGGAAGATTTATGGAGAAAAAATCATAATGAAATGCCAGATTTAATAAAAAATCCGGAAAAGTTTTCACCAGCATATCGTACAAGTTTATGTTATTACCCAATGACGAGAATAGAATTGGAAGAATTTTTAGGGAAATGTGGAAGTTGGCAAGATGGAGGCAAAAAAGGATTTTTACATTCAGGTACTTTAAATAGGATATATTTATATTTAACCAATGTAGTATTTGGAGGAAGAAAAAAAGTTACAAGTAAAAAATGGAATATAACAAGAGGGGATACTATTGAAAAAGAATCAATAATACAAGGTCGTAACAAAAGAACAATGAAAGAAAGGATGATGATTATGAAAGACATTATGTTGAAGAGAAAAAATTTTCAAAGAGCAAGACCTTTCTTTATTTTACGCGAAGAAGAAGATTCTGATTCAGAAAATGGTGATAATAGTGATGGATTTAATTCTGCCAGCGAAGAAGAAACTTGGCTGTAAAAAAAAAAAATTATTTAATTATATAATTAATTTGGGTTGGGATCTTGTATAATTAATTAATTGGGTAAATGGGAAATAATAATTTAATTATTTTTAGAAAAAAAAAAAGAATTTTTTTTCTTATATATATATGTTTTATATACACGTTCAGTTTTTAAGAATAGAATTAATAAAAATTTGTAAAAAAGCATTTTTTATGAACTTTAACAAGACGCAATGAATTGCAAAAAAATGACAAATTATTCATTCAAATTATGTATGGTATAATAATTTTACTTACTTTTTTGGGTCGGTTATATTAAGCATACATCATGTGTGCGTACAACATATTCAATATTGGAAATCAAACAGATTTAAAAAACTTTAACGGAATATCATTAGCATTAGACTGCATTAGGCTGCATTAGGCTAATAAGTAAACATGAATAAATAATTAAGGAGAAAAAACAATTAATCCACTAACCAAATATGTTAATGATCTACAGTCATGTTACTAATTATGAATAAATAGTATAAGGTCATTTATTTAATGTAACTTTACATTGTTGTGATTGTACACATGCCGTTTCTGCGACAATTTCTCCAGCTATTCCAATAATATTAGTTTGTAACACAAAACTGCAAGATTTAATATAAAAAAAAACGATTCTATTTTTCCTTTTTTTTTTTTTTTTAAAAAAAAAAGATACATATATATTTTATAATCCTTCACTAAACTCCGGACTAATCAGACCAATTATAAATAAATATGGCACAACTTTCTGCTGATTGTCTTAATGAAATTTTTAAATATTTGGATGAAGACGTCACTTTAAATTCATGTTTATTGGTTAATAGTATTTGGTGTGAAATTTCAGTAAGAAATTTATGGAAAAATGTTAGAAATTATAAAACTTTAATCTCTTGTCTTCCTAAAGAATCTAAAGAAATTCTACTCAAGAATAAAATCAATATAACAACAACAACGATCACAAATTCACCATTATTTAATTATGTTATATTTATTAAAAGTCTTTCAATATATAATATTGATAATATGATTAAAAATATACTTCAAAATTACCAATCTATTACACCACAAAGTTTAAATCATAAGAAATATATAGTTACAAAAGAAATATATAAATTATTTATGAATAAAATATCTCTTAGAGAATTATATTTTAATTCATATAAAATAATTAATATACCAAATATAAATTTTATTAATTATAATGGGGCAAAAGATTGTTTGAGATTTTTATCAAAATTAAGTTGTCGTTCAGATATTTATTCAGAATTTTTTCAACAATTATCACAAATTTGTCATAATATACAATATTTATATATAACATTTGAAAAAATAATATCAAAAGGTTTACCAGATTTAATTTCTTCACAAAAAAATTTAAAACATTTATATATAATGCAATCTTATGATTGTGAAGATTTATCTGATATAATTCATTCTTTAACAAAACTTTATCCTGATAATTTAATTAAATTTGAACTTTATGGTGGGAAACATTTTATACCTTTATCTTTTATTTCAAAATTTTTAAATTTACAAGAACTTGTTTTATCTTTTGATTATAATTATGCTATTGAAGGTTTTAAAAATTTACATAATGTTAAATTTAATAATTTACAAATTTTAAAATTTGAATATGCTTATCCAAAATTTGAATTAATAAAATTTTTAGAAATTAATGGAAAAAATTTAAGAGAATTTTATATAGGTAATAATGATGATACTTTAAATTTATCTATATCTGAATTTTGTCCAAATATTAGAAAAATTTTTACTATATTTAAAAATAATGAATTAGGTTCTTTAAAAAATATTTTTATTAATTGTAAATATTTGGAAAGTATTAAAATTTGGTGTGGTGATAGATATTTGAATGATAAAAAGGTTTTGGATATAGTTTTAAATCATTCTCCTAGAGATTTTTATGAATTAAAATTATATTATGTTATTAATGCTCAATCTGAAATAACTCCTGAAGAATTAGAAGATTTTTTTATAAATTGGAATAATCGTATACCACAAAAATCTCTTTCTTTTATTATTACAAAAGGTTCTCGAGCAAAAAGTTTAGAAGTACGAAAAGAAAATATGGAAATTATTGAAAAATATAGAATGTTGGGCATTATTAAAAAAACTTTATAATAATTTTAATATTTTGTAATTATTTTTTTTTTTATTAAATAAAATTTATATATTTATATTGGATTTTCAGTAACACAGTGGCTATTACGCGTATTACATATATTAAACACGTATATTACGTATATTACACGTTTTAGTCGTTTTACGTCTTGCATACGTTCTCATACGTCTGTCTTATACTTGTACTTTTTATAATCTTATAACTCTCATATAACTCTGATAAGTCCAATTTGACAATGTCAACAAGAAGTCAAAAACAAAATGGTAAAAAAGTTAATATACATAGTACGTGATACGGTGATACAGTGTTATGTAACGCCATTATACATGGTCCAATAAGAATTCTTGTTTTTGTGACACGATTGGACACGATTACAAAGATTACAAATAGAAAATAGAAAATAGAAAATAAAATTTTGCTTTTATTTTTTTCTTTTTCCTTATTAAATAATCGTTTGTTAAATTATCAATTTATTACCATCAAAAAAAAAAAAAATTTTAATCGTAACTATGTCTAAACTTCCTGTTGATTGTCTTAGCGAAATTTTTGAATATTTGGAAGAAGATAAATTTACTTTATATTCATGTTTACTTGTTGATCGCCTTTGGTGTGGAATTTCAGTTAGAATTTTATGGAGAAAAGTTCGTAATTATAGAACTTTAATCGCTTGTCTTCCAAAGAATTCAAAAGAAATCTTATATAATAATGGAATTATTGTTTCACCTCCAACTTCAAAAGATCCATTATTTAATTATATAACTTTTATTAAAAATATATCGATTTATAAAATCGATAATATAATTATTATTATTCTTAAAAATTATAAATCTATTTATACACCACAAAATTTAAATTATATAAAATTTATAGTGGCACAGGAAATTTTTAAATTACTCATGAATCAAATTACTTCATTAAAAGGATTATATTTTGATTCATATAAAAATTTGGATATCTCTAATGTAACTTTTACTTCTTATCCTGGAGCAGAAATTTGTTTAAAACATTTATCAAAATTGAGTTGCCATTCTGGTATTTACTCTGAATTTTTTTATCAATTATCCTTAATGTGTCATAATATACAAACATTAAAGATTAGATTTGAAGAAATTATATCAGATGGTTTAATGGATTTAATATTCGTTCAACAAAATTTGAAATATTTGGAAATAATATTATCTTATGAATGTGAAAATTTATCAAATATAATTCCTTCTTTAAAAAACCTTCCAAATACTTTAATTAAATTGGATTTTTCTGGTGGAAATCATATTATACCATTATCTTTTATAACAAAATTCAAAAATTTACAAGAACTTATATTATCATTCGATTATAATTACGCTATTGAAGATTTTACAAAATTACAATACATTTCATTTCCACAATTACAAGTACTGAAATTTGATTATGCTTATCCCAGATATGATTTATTAATAAAATTTTTGGAGGTTAATGGGAAAAGTTTAAAAGAATTTTATATAGGTAATAATGATAATTCTTTGAATCTAGCTATAGCAAAATTTTGTCCAAATCTCAGAAATCTTTTTACTATATTTAGAAAAGATGAATTAGAAACATTAAAAATGATTTTTAATAATTGTCAATATTTGGAGAGTATTGAAGTTTGGTGTGGAAATGATTATTTGGAAGAAAAAAAATTATTTGATATAATTGTAAAATATTCTCCTGAAAATTTTTTTGAATTAAAAATTTATTACGTTATTTTTACAAAATCTGAAATATCAAAGGAAGGATTGGAGGATTTTTTTATTAACTGGTCAAACCGCGCAAAACCAAAACCCCTCTCTATGATCATTTTTTTTCATGATTCAAATACGTATAATGAAAATATGAAAATAATTGAAAAGTACAAATCGTTGGGTGTTATTAAAAAATTTAAGATCATAATGTAACATGAATAGATCATCATCATCTGTATATAATTTTATCATTGTTAATAATAAAAATGTCTGTTATTTCAACTCAATAATGACATGAACTTCGGATGGTAATTTGCCAATACAGTATTTATTTTCTTTTTTTTTTTCTTGTGCTTTTTCCCTGTTCTAATCTTTCCTTTTCTAATTCTTTTGATTAGAATTTCTCATTTTTCTCTTCTTCGGAAGAATAAGTTTAAAAATACCTATGTCACGGTTTTTGGAGAAAAAGTATCAGTATATTCTATTAGTAGATTTTAGTAGATTATAATTCTGGTCAAGCATCTAATTTTGGCGCATTATGATAAACAAACTACCAAACATATTTAGTAAGAAATTGTGATTCATTCCAAAAAAATTGGTCGGAAAATTTCTTACTCTAAATTATATATTGTTAATCATGCTAACATTATAGTACTGGCCTGAATTATATTAGTGTACCCTAAAATATTGGTATATAAACCAGATTTTTATATACATTACTATAAAGGGAACAGATTGGTACATTATATTGCAAAATAATATAAAAAGGTTTTAATTAATTGTAAAATAAAGGGAATGTAAAAACATTATTATAAGCAAATATTAATATATATTGTATTGATATATAGAAGTTTAACTGTAATTTATAAAACTTCTAATTTTATAATTTTATTTATAAATATACATATAATTAAAAAAGAAAATATATTTAAATACTATAATAGAAAAGTATTGGACTACTGATAAAACAAAAAAAAATATTAAAAATAATAATTATCATTTTAAAAATATTATAAGAATTAAAAAGCAACATTCAAAACTTTAGTTTCTATCAATTATTGCATTAAATAAGTTATTTAAAAAAGAATCCCAAAAAATTTTCAGATAAGTAAGGTTCTAAATTCTAATAATAGAATCCAAAAAATCATGTAAATCCTTTTTTTTAAATAATATTAACGTTTTCTTTTTTCAAAAGCAAATTCTAAAAAAAACTTAAAATTTATAGTAAATTTTTTTTTAGCTGGATTTTATCTCTATATATTATTTAAAGTTTTTTTGAAAAAGTTTAGTATATATTTAATAGTTAAAGATTATATTAAA